CAATATCAAAAGATACCACAAACCTATTTATTCTTTAGTAACCTATTTTTTAATTCTTTAAACCAATACGAAGAAGCTAAAGAAACTGAGTACACAGCAGTTTTGCAAGTTTTTGAATAGAAAAACTCTCATTCTTTATGAGAGATAAAAACAGGGGTAAACTATAGACGTCCGGTACTCGCGTACGGTGTTGGGAGGGGAAGACGAAGAGAGGGGGTCATGGGAAGACCTTTACTACCCCCTACTCTTCCCCCGTTGCGGAAATGTATAGTTTAGGAGTAATAATTAGTTTTGTAAAATCATAACCTCACTTTTTTATACAGGAATGTTGACGCAAACTTACTTCTGCAACGGCTTCAGCACTGCGAGAACTGCAGCCCCTTCGCCCTTGCGTAGCAAATCACAGGCACCCATGCTCGCCACCGCAGCTTCGGCTTATTGGTCGCCTTCGGCGACCAGCCTCAGCCGCTACGGATCACTTAGGTGCCTGCGATTTGCTATAGCGGGTGGGGGCTGCTCTCCCTCCGTGCCTACGGTTTTACAAAAACACTCTCGGGTTAGGGCAGGCAAGACTACGTGGAGTCGGGGTTGTGCTAATTCGGTTTTAGGACCGAATCGACCAATCTTATCTATAAAGTCTGGTTGCCCTAAACTCTGCTGTAATAGTGGTAAATGAAATAATGTAATGTGAATTGTTATAATTTTGTTTTCTGAAAAACCTCTTGACTGCTCTCCACTGCGACTCAATTTGTTGTATATAAGTCCCGTCTCCAGCCACAAATAGATTGTCTGGGTCCGAATGATTAAATTTTTTATGAGTATATCTGAGTTAAAAAACAAATTGACATATTTGCGTTTCGTTATTGCAATTTTTTGTGAAATTTATTTTTATCGTAATTAATTCAAAAGGCATTTACGATATCCAAAAAGAGTGTCATTGGTTCAAGATTAACCCTGACAAACCTCCCAAATTGAGAACAATTTTTTTTATAGATGAGGGTGCAAACGAGCACACGGTACACCTGATGTTAAGTGATTACCGCCGCCCATGAACATCCGCAACACCTGGGGAATTGCAGGTGCGTTGCCGGCTCTTTAGAAAGAAGTAAGCTCTTTTCTTGAAAGTCCCCAGGTCGTATCGGTCCGGAAAAATCGCTGGTGGTAAACAATTCCACAGAGAGGTTGTACGCGGAAGAAAACTCCTCTTGAAACGTACAGTGGTGGACCGCCAAGCATCCAGATGATGTGGATGGTATCGCGACGTTTTCCGCGTAGTGCGTTCACGAAATTTGGCAGCTGGGATTAATCCGAACAATTCCTCAGAGCACTCTCCATGGTATATGCGAAATAAATAATGCAAAGAGATGCAACATCTCTTCGCAGTGCCAGTGAATCGAGCCGATCGGAAAACACTCGGTCGTCGACGATTCGAGCCGCTCTACGCTGGATGCGGTCAAGTGGAAGGAGCTGGTACTGGGGAGCCCCAGCCCAGAGATGGGAACAGTATTCCATGTGCGGCCAAACCTGCGCCTTGTAACGTTGCAGGCGGTGTGCCGGCATGAAATACTGTCCCGCTCTGCTGAGCACGCCAAGCTTTTTAGAGTCCAATTTGGTCTTCTCTTCCAAGTGACCGCGAAACTGCACGTCACTCGATATGTCGACGCCGAGGATTCCGATACTGGCTGAGGCAACAAGGGGAGTGCCTTGAAACTGAGGAGATACGACAAAGGGGTTCTTTTTAACGGTTAACGCGCAAACTTGTGTCTTCTGGGGGTTAAACTGGACTAGATTTAGTCGCCCCCAATCCGAGACTCTGTTCAGCAAAGACTCGACTTCAGACACAAGTTTGTCTCGGCACTCGGAGACGTTTTCCCGAGAAATATTGGCTCGGCCGGTGTAAAGAGCATCACCAGTGCTGTCATCTGTATAGCAATGAATGTTACGGGTTTGCAATCTATCATTGATATGCAGAAGAAACAGCGTTGGCGATAGCACGCAGCCTTGTGGAACACCAGCATTAATAGGCTTGCAATCGGAGCTTGCACCGTCTACAACGACCTTGAAGCCCCGATCTTAAAGAAAGCTGGTGATCCAATCGCACAATTTGTCGGGAAGCCCATAGGATCCGATCGAAGGCCTTCGCAATGTCCAAACTAACGGCCAATGCCTCCCCCTTGGACTCTACTGCCTCCACCCATCTGTGAGTTAGGTAGACCAAAAGATCACCAGGTGACCGACCACGGCGAAAACCGTATTGGCGGTCACTAATCAGCTGGTGATTCTCAAGGTACCTCATGAGCTGGCAGTTTACAATGGACTCCATTGTTTTGGAGAACAAGGAGGTGATGGCGATAGACGGGTCTGAGCGGTCGCCTTTTTTAGGGATCGGGTGGACGAAAGCCGTCTTCCATGATTTTGGGACTACGCCTAGGGAGTAGGAGTACCGGAAAAGACGCGTTAAAACCGGAGCACACGTCCTTAGCACAGTTGGGGGATTCCGTCGGGCCCACTCGACTTGTGAACTGCACTTCCGGCATGGAGCACTCACACCTCGGAATGGTCGGCGGCGTACTCTCCCCGTCATCTAGTGTCGAGTTGGACGCAAAGAAAGAGCCTAGACGATCGGCTTTCTTCTTTGCGGTATGGGCCAGTGAGTCGTCCTCCCTGTGCAGAGATGGAATAGATGGCTGACAGAAATTCCCCTGGACAGCCTTGGCGAGAGACCAGAATGTACGGGTTCCAGAAGGAAGGCAGACTAGTTTCTCGCCAATTCTGACTATGTGCGCTGACCTTGCCTTGGCAATGACTCTTTTGAAGGACCTAGAGGCGGAATTATACTTCTTTTTTAGAGCGCTGGTATTTACATCCCGGGACGCTGATGCGTCAGCCCAGGCTCGGTAGCACTCCTGCTTATAGCATGATGCTATTTTACAGGAGCGACCAAACCATGGCTGAGATTTACCTCCAATGGGCACCACAGAGGAAGGAATAAAAAGTTCCATACCCTGAAGTACCACATCAGTGACAGTATCCGCAACAACGTTGGGATCGTCCGGTGAGAAGCAAACCCGCCCCCATGGGTAGGATACAAAGAAAGACCGCATCCCATCCCAATCGGCTGACCTATAGTGCCAAACACGGCGGCAGCCTGCACATTGCAACTGCGATTTCAGCGTTAGTGGCACCACACTCCGAACAAGACAATGGTCCGAGGAGCCTAAAGGGGCGTCACCGGAAATCTGATATCCGTCCGGGTGAGATGTCAGCAGAAGATCCAACAGGGAAGGTGCATGATCCTCCACATCTGGAATCCGCGTAGGCGAAGTAACCAGTTGTGTCAGACCATATGCTAAGGCAAAATCATGAACAGATCTCCCCGCATGATCGGTTAAACGTGAACTAAGCCATTCGGCGTGATGGGTGTTAAAGTCGCCGAGGATCACGATCTCTGCGGAGGGGATCTGCTGTAGCAACGAATCTGTAGCCATTTGGACGTGGTCGAAGAGTCGGTCTGTTTCGGCATTACCGCTATGGGACCTATAGAGGCACCCGTAGACGCGCGAATGGTCGTCGCTGTCTACGCGTAGCCAAAGGATGGACAGGTCCGAACTTTCAAGTCTGCCGAGGCGTCGAGAACAGATGTCCTCTCTGACGTAAACGCAAACTCCAGCCCGAGGCACAAAGGAGTGTTCCAGTTTGTACCCCGGGTAGGAGAGATACGAGACATCAGCCGGAGAGGACACCTGCGTCTCGGTCAGAAAGAGTAGAGCCGGCCTCGCCGTCTCCAGATGGTAGTGGACGGCGTTTAGGTTAGAGTGAAGTCCCCTGATATTGCAGAAATTCACGGACAGCGTGGCAGGGTTCGCCTTGGTTTTGTTGCTCCGTTTGCCCCGAGCAGTTGCAGTCTTGAGCGGAATTATGCCCCCCCAGAATACGCGGGGCAGCCTGAGCACCCACGCTCAGAAGCGGAGAAACATGATCGTGGATGCTCAGCGAGGGATTTTCCTGCGGTGCTGGTACCCTCCTGGGGTAGTCTATCATCATTTAATTCCGCTACCATGTTGATGGGGGGGGGGGGTTTGGGCCGCCGGCCACCTGCACTCACCAGACGAAACGCGGAAGCAGAGCTTCCACTTCACGCCGATATTCTGTGAGGTCGTGGTACCACCCTGGTTTGAACCGGCCCATACGTGCAACAGCAAAGCTACCGCGTGGCTCTACCACTGTTAAAATTAAAAAATCAAGTACAAATCAAGGACATCTACTTCATAATACGAGAACAAATTGACATATTTGCGTTTCGTTATTACACAGTTTTTAGTGAAATTTGTTTTTATTGTAATTAATTCAAAATGCATTTCCGACATCTAAAAACAGTGTAATAAGTTTAAGCTTAACCCTAACAAGCCTGCTAGATTAAAAACATTATCAAAACAAGTACCGGATGTCTGTAGCCAACCCAAAAATAGAAAGAGATTCTACTTCGATTTTCTAGGGTGAAATTCCGATTCACTGGATCGATTCATTTTTATGTATCGATTTACAAATCGTCCTTTTTGGCATAAGAAATCGATTCTTCGATAAATCGATCATAGATCGACATTCCTATAATAGTATCCTATCATAATCATAGTTTAATATTAGTCTTTGGCTCCCTTGTCATACTGTCATACAACTGGTAGCAAGACTTTATGCCAAAAAGTTTGTTGTACAGAGAAATATCAATAATTTATTTTTAATTGCTTGTGAATTGCAGTCAGTTTTTAGTGTTGAAAATTAAAATTGTTGTTAGAAATGGAGGTGTCGTTAAAAATGAACAATATTTTGCCGCTTCTGAGGCATAATAATACATGTCAATAAAAAAAATATTTTCGTAATTTGTTTGTAAAATAGTGTCGAAGGTTACTGTAAACTACATAATGTTCGTGTCTAAACAGTTTTTTTAAAAACCAAGAAAACGTGGCGGTAGATAAAATATTCCCTTGTAGCCATCGCCCAAAATGAGCAATTGGGCGCGACGGATGCACCGGCGAGCTGCTACATTGAGCAATGTAGTCACGTCTTGCGGACATCCTAATTCTCTCCCGTATCCAAGACGTTTAGAAAAAGTAAAATTTGGTGTTCCTCTTCAAGAAGTATGCAAAGACGATATTCCAGGGCCCTTGCTTGTTAGTGCAAAACACTAAATTAGTATGATTAATGTCACTTACTGGATTTTGAATAAATTTTGTGTTGTATTCAGGTGCTGATACTAAAATTAAACAAGGAAGCGCCTCTTCGTCGTGATGTATTCCGCGCTCCTGGTCATCAAGGCGCCATGAAAAAATTAATACACTTTTTGCAGACAGGCCGACTTGTTAATGTAGATAACTATTCAGTGTACACAATTGCTAGTGTTCTAAAAAAGTTTCTAAGGTAAGTGTTATAATAATTTAAACAAAACTATTATATAAATAATTTAAATTTTTACTTTATACTTAATTATATTATCATAATTATAGTATATAGTGCACATAATTCCATTTAGAGTTATTTCTATACTTACATAAATTTGTCAAAAGAACAAAGTTCTGTGTCATAAATTTTTTTTATTGATAATTTCACAAATAAAAGCAAAGGGTTGATATTAGTTAGTATAGCATTGTAAACTTAGGTAATTTTTGTTTTATTCTATGTACTTTGATGCTCTGATGTAGCAGCCTCTTAACCAAAAAAATGTACATACTTTGTTAGGTCATAAGTTCTGTCAAATACTTTTTATAATAAATACTTTTTATAAAAATTAATGATACACTTTTTGATAATTATATTGAAATTATATATGAAATGAAAGGTAATTCAATTTAGAATATAATTTTATTAACATTATTCAAAATGCCCTCTCCTATTTTGAATACATGCATGCATGCAGCATACACCACACTCATATCTATTTCTGCCGCTGCTTTAGCCAAAGATGCTCTGGTTTTTTTGGTTTTTTTCTGGGGTGTGTGGGTGTGAGATAGTTTTTTCTGCTGTGGACATACACCTTATGATTTTGTTTATTATAACTTTCTTCAATGTTAATAATTTTTTTCATCCGAAAACAAAATTTCGCAGTATTTTTCTCCCGCGTATCGCCGTAACAAAGCGCGGGATCTATCCAAACTAAATTTTTTCACACTCTTGTTTAAAAAATGTGCGGTCTTGTTATGATAAGTTTTTAGTTATAGGTCTTCATTGATCACTCTTTCAACCGTGGTTCTGCTTAGGCCCATCTGAAGAGCTAAGATTTTTTGTTTACGAACAGGATTTTGTTGGATTCATTGAAACATGACTGATGATCTCGGGTGTCCTAACTTTGCGAAGTTGGCCGGTCCTCTTACGATCTTCGAAGCACTTCAAGTGAATCGTTTGATAAACAAATGGTAGGGTTATTTTCAATTTTTGTAGAATATTGATAATCTTCGGCGCATAACCACAGCGGTGCAACACAACAACCGCTACTCTATCTTCTTTCTTCGACCACTCCATATTTAAAAAAGAATGAAAATTAATGTCTTTTATTTTCGGCAGGTGTAAATATTATATTTTTACACCTGTAAATTGGTGAAGTTCATCTAGCCAGTATTCAAAAATTTTTAATAGTAAGGTTTTGACAGAACTTATGACCCGACTAATTAGTTTTAAAGAACTTTTTTAAATCTAATAAATATAGCAGAAGATAGCTGGATAAATGTTGCTTATAACCATTGAGCTATAATGTACTACCTACTGGAGACGACACTGCATTCAGCTATTCTGTTCCACTCAACTGCGGTGCATACACCGCACTTTAATTAGTCACTCTCTAGGCGCTTGAAGAGTTGTCACGTGTTGTGTTGATTTAAAAAAAATCTCTTGATAAAAATATGCCATCTTGTGTACTTAGATATTGTACAAATAATTCAAGAAATGTCAGTAAAAACCACGGAATTACTTTTCATCGGTTAATAAGATACTTAATCGATAAAAAAGTACTATAGATTAATAATAAAACAAATTATTCCTAAGACGCCATCTCATGTCATGGAATATAGATTATGAAATTAATATGTTCAGATGCGACATTTCTGTGGGTACTACTTAAGTATAGGACGAATACATTATTATACACATTTTTTTTGTAGAAATATATATAAATTATTATAATAAAGCTAAATTTTTCATGTTTAAATTTGATGATTATTCTTTTATTTTATTTTTAGGTTTCCACATCAAAGTCAAAGTGGAATAAATTCATCCATTTTTAACTCTCGCATGCCCAGCATTTAATGAACAACTCTTATTCTAATTTAAATAAATATGTTTGTAATATAAATGTTATGTTAAACATACATTCAGTATATTTTTTTTATATTTGACAGATACCTTTTAAAATATCAATAGGTGATATAATATTATCTAATATTATATTAAATAAGCAAATATAATATACAAAATAAATGACAAAATTTAAATATTGTTCTCTATATAATTTACCTATTTAACAATACAATCTACTATTACCTACGGTTCATTCTACCAATGTTTATTCTTAAAAAAACCAACCGCGGGGACACATAGTAGCGCACATTTTTTGTTTGAGATAGCTGTTCTAGTATGTAAGTACATATTACTTCAATGCTTATAACCTTATAATCTGGTCGATAAGCTTGTCTAGGGTGGTCCTTATAAAATTGCTTTTTCATTCTTTTCTAATTCTATCTCTAGTCTAATTTTCTCTCTCCAAACTTCTGAAGTATTCAACATTTTACAAACCACACCGATGTCTTATTACACAATTTAACACCTCATAATATTTCTTCTGCCATACCCAACTTTCAGGAGTAGAAATTATCAGCTTTGTGTGCGATATTCATATACATGCATTTTGTGACACAGTCTGACTTCCTATAATAGAGTAAAGAGCGCTAATTACTTGGTATACTACATTCACTATTTGTTCTATAGAATAGAATATTTTTATTGAATGTAGATTACATGTTGTAATTCTTATTGAAAGTTATTTTTTGCTTTACCAATGGTTCGAAAAAACCTCTGTGCTTGGAAGAACCAGCAAGAAACTAAGTAGGACTTTTTAAAAAAAATTTACAATGTCATTGGTCACGAAATATTTACAAAATTTATTTTACAAACAAAATATAAGTTATCATGACTGACATCCCTGCTAAACACATCCTAAATGCTCATCAACTCACTCATTAAACTCCCTTTCCAACTTCTCTTTTCTTTTAAAAACTTAATGTCATTTATTATCTAAATTTCATTGTGTTCACTTTCATTCTCCTTTCTTTTTAATGATGCAAATGTAACTATCATTTGTAACTTACCTACCAACAATGCAAATCTAACTTAAGCATTGGCATACAAGTGCTATTTGATGGCTAACTTACCCATTATTAATCCACGTTTATTAACTTTCAAAGTTAATTGCTAAGCAACTCTCAAGCATATTCATGTTTTGTGATTCTATAATTAAACAGAGTTATGCTATATTATATATGTTATATATGTTTATATGTTATATATGTTAACACAGTTATGCTATTTAACTTTGTTTTTGTTTTAGAAAGATCCCAGGAGGAGTATTTGGACGAGATGGAGAGATGCATTTGTTTGCAGCTGTAGAATTACCACAAGACCAGCAAGTGGGAGCAATTCGTGGGTAAGTGTATGTTATATCTCTTTTTCTGGTGCTTTTTTATCTTCTAAAAGGTATTTGTTCTGTGTGTATTGTAGTCTATACAATACGGTACTCACTTATTGTTGAGTAATGAGTAAGTAGTACTGTGGTCGATTTCAAGAATATCGCCATTATTTACAGATAAGAACTCAGCATAGATAACACTTTATGGGAAAGTTAATTACTTTATCCTAATTGATTTTATTAAAAGTTTTGCATGTTATGACAAAATATAGTTAAATAATCTTAAATGTTACTGAGGCTTGCTCATAACACCCTAGATTTGTAATTTTGGCACTATTGCCACTATCCATCCATCTAGCCGTCTATTAAAGCCTACAAAAGTCGACTGCTGAACCATAGGCCTCCCCCATAGATAGTTGCCATGCTTGGCAGGCAGTTTGGCAATCGCAGCAAAACTATAAAGTCTAGGTTTGCCAATCAGAAATATTTATGACAAAACATATGTTATTGTGAATAGGTTAGGTTATAATTAGCTGTGAAATGGTTCTTCATCATCTTAATCAATCCCTAGAAGTCCACTACTGGATATGGACCTCTCCCATTGTAGGAAGGATTTACCTTAATTGTCGTGCTTGACCTATATTGACAGAATTAGTTATTAGTACAGAATGTCTTGCACTATTGATACTATTACCCATCACCGTTTCAGGTATTTTAAGCGTAGCCTGGTGAAATCAAGATGATATATGGCTATCTTTAGTCATATCATTTTTCTGGCAGTTCCTATAGTTTCCTTTCCTAACATTGCCCCCCCCCCCCCCCGAACGGGTTTCTTGCCTTGTGGCAGAAGGACTTTAATAGCCGTGGCTTGGTCACCCATGGTGAACTAAGAGGAATTCATATGGTTGTTGGCCCATTCTTCACTTCTTCCTTTGGTCTTCACATCTTTAGTTTGTTGCCTGTTCTCTTCTTTTTTTATTTTAAATTTAGTCTGCTTAGCATTCTCTGTTAGTGCTCGAAGGTATCTCTCTAAGGATCTTTGGTTGCAATGTCACTTCTTCTCCACGATTCGATGTCGACATCTTATCACGTAGAACGCTTTTTAAGATTTTGACGCGACAAAGCTACTCTCAAACCCAGTTCTTTGAACAAAATTTGATCTATCGCAGATTGTTAACTTATTTGGTTCCATGTTCCTTTCTTATTCTCCTCTTCCATTTAAGCCTTACTATGTTCTTTTGTTCTCTCAAATAAATTACAAAAATTACTACAATAAATAAAGTTATTTACAAGAAAAACACTTTATTCACTGTCCGGCGTTAAGGGACTACTTTGTGTCCGGTACTAGGGGACACACCGAGCTACTTTTAAAATTTCATAGTTTAAGAATAACAATAGAGTCCTACTTTAATTAACAAATACTATGAAGACTTAAACAGAAATTTACCTGTAACACTCACCTGGATCTTAAGGTGGCTCTAGTCGATGGCATGAACTAAGTGGTGGGCGGGGTTAAAATGACAATATTATATAGTATAAAACAAAATGTGATTTCATTGTAACTTAAATTAATATAACAACATGTCTATTTATTATAATTTAAATTGAAACTGCAAACATTTTATATTATGCTAATATTTGCGCGTATTATGTCTTATAGAATCTTGCTGTAGGATAAAGCGGCGAATATTGAGAAAATATGTGCAATTTATAATAAAAAACCGCGCGAACCCCTTTGACAGAATTTTAAGGAAATAGGTATTCTCACAGAAGCTTCATATTATATATTTCTATATTATTATATTCGTAAGACAACGTATTCATCAGTACAAAAAATCAGGTGGTAGTAGTAATGGCTATGTAGTGGGCAGTGGTGGTGGTTGTGGTGTTGATAGTGGTAGTGGTGGTGATAATAACTGATGGTGGTGCTGGTCGTGGTGGTGGTATTGGTGGCGGTTGTGTTGATAGTGGTCCACTATCCACCACCATCAACGATATCACAAGCACCACCACCGACACCAGCACCACTACCACCAACATCAGCACCACTAACTCTAACACCACCTTCACCACTGTCTGGCAATTGTATTATTTTCTCTCGAATTTTATACATACTGTAAAACTGTTTGGCATTAATTTGTACAGAACACTAATTAATTACTTATATAAATCTATAATATCTTATTTTATAATAATCAATCTCTAAACTTAACTCTAATTGTAAAAAAATTGATTTATAAAGTTACGTAATATTATTCTTCCATTTATTTAAATGCGCACAACTAACGCAGCCCTTTCATGATTACTCTAACTGAGCCGGCGCAAACCGGTTTGTACCCCGACGGACGACGGAGCATCTGTGAACCCTCACGAATGAGACCTCACGAACACATCGCTGCGCTATGTATGGGTATAGTCGCAGCGAGCCGTTTGTATGTAGCTTCCACTCTGGTCGGTTTCTTTACTCATGTGTCCTGATGTTGCCTTGAGCGTCATTGGCAAACTGCATCTGATGACGCTATACCATTACGTTCCCCCGTTTTCCTTTTAGCCGTGTTTGAGTCATTCACGTGATAACTTGTCGCGATAATACGAGTGTCCAGCACTAGGTGCCGTCCGGCGTTACGGGACTTTCTCCTATTAAGATTTTATTTGATATTATTTTAACAGTCCATTTTATGTTTATTTACGAAAAAAACTATAAAATATAAGTTAATTTACGCACACAACACTACAAAGTTGTTAAATTTTTTTGTCATAAAGATATAACTCCAAATAATTTTTTTTAAATAAAGCCCCTATATATCCAACTATACGTATGTAAAATTACAGCTTGATTAATTTTGAAATTACTGAAATATAAAGTTTTGAGACCACTCACCACTATATATATTCAAGTACGCTGGACTGGCTATACACCGTAACATGGTGAGGCGATTTCATTTGCTGACAGAAGTGCACGTCCACGGACCTAATAATTGGGATAAGACAGTGTGACAAAATATATCGATAAAAATTCTATACCCGACCTATACCTAAATAAATAGAATGGACTCTATGGATAGATGGACTCTACCCGTAACGTCCATTCTATTTATGTATCACATTAATATAATGCCATTCTCATTCATCATCATTAAAGCCCTTCACACGTCCACTGCTGAACATGCCTCCCCCAAGGAATGCCACAAAGCACGGTCATGAGCCACCTGCATCCATCAATTTCCTGTATGTCTTACCAGATTGTCACTCCATCTAGTGGGGGGACGTCCTACACTTCATCTGCCGGTACGAGGCTGCCACTCGAGAACATTTCTTCATCCCCATCGGTTATTGGTTCTTCGGGTTATATGGCCGGGCCATTGCCACTTCAGCTTACTAATCCAGTTATTCACATGATGAAAAATCTCATCAAGTGGTGCAGCCTCACCAACGCTGAGGAGGAAAGTCGAGTGACGATGTGCTATACCATCTATTAGACTATACCGACACTACTCTTCCCTCACGACTCCACCTCGACTACAGCGGTACAAGGAGAGGAATCTCCTCCAGCCGCTGCCCACTAACACACATCTAACGTGGCTCGACATCATCTTGAGTTTAGGGAAAATGAGAAGAGAAGAATAAAAAACATTTGAAATAATATTCTAATACTTTTATACTTACTGGTACTGGTACTACCAGAAAATTTTGTCGGTATACTGCACTTTTGTTTGTTTTCATCGTTTATCAAAAATCAGTAATATACAGCAAAACATGTTGGTAATTATGATCTTAAGATTAGTAATAAATTTTTAAGTACATATATTATCAAACAGTTTTAATTTGATTAATATTAGCTGCAAATTCACTTACTTGTGGAATGTTATACCACTTTCCTTTCTGGTAACGAGTTTTACAGATTACGCAAACTCTCATTATTATTAAAAATAATTCTTATTATGTAACTAAAATTATACACAATCAAACAACATAAAATAATATCGTTTTTAGTTTGCAATTTAATGTCAATTTTTTAATACTTTTGGCAATGTCTCTTGGCATATTAAAATGTCAATTTTAGTTCCCGAGACGACCTATAGTGGCGCTTCAAATTGGCACAGATATTATGTATTGTATATCCAGTCCAGCGTACTTGTATAATATATAGAGATCAGGTCAGAGACGAAACACACCCGGTTTTACCATAGTTGGCCGCACCGTAGATGCGGGGATGGAGGGGTCGTGTTATGGGAGGAATTCGGTATCGCGAGGGACCGTTGTCCCTACCCTCCGTGGCCGAAACTTGGTTGGTGGCAAAGCCACAGATCAGATCTGTCGTTGGGATTCGGAAAGCTGGTGCTTCCAAGCTTAGTAAAGCGGGCTCGGGGGGAGGGGTCCATTGCGCTGGTAGAATTGGAAGCCGCGAAGAAAGGTGCTTGTGAACCTGGAGCGCCATACTTGAGAAGAAGGGCTGCCAGTGGGCGACCGGCGCCGGGGGGTCCGTGGATGTGTGCAAAGCGTTTCCGTGGCCCTGCCAATATGCGGCGAAGGTAAAACATTAAAGGGTTTTAGTTGGTGTGAGTCCAAGGTAACCCATTCATACGAGGCGGGTATGCGTAGGCATTTCCCACGTAGAGACAAAAGTGCAAGTTAGGTCCCGAAAATGTTGAAACTAAAAAACGCAATCGCGTCAAAAATTGTGTTGAGATTTTTAGTAATTTAATTCATATATTACCTAATTTAAGTAAAGTTTGAATTTGAATTAGTTATGTTATGGCGCACGTCATCTTTAAGGTAGACAACTTTGTTAAATAACAGCTCGGCGTCGTCGCTCAAAACATAACGCGCAACATGTTGAGCTACTCTTACACGCTGCGCATCAATTGTTGCTTAGTAAATACATGGCCTAACTTCGAACTCTTATTGATCACACAGACCGAGTTGTCCAGCTACTACTGGATGTTTGGGATTACTAATAGTGAGTCAGCTCATCATAGCAATTAATTAACATGCATTAGCGAGTTTTCTTTTCGTGC